AGGTGATTGCCCTATATGAAGTGTATTTTGCAGAAAGAAAATTAGGAAGTCAAAACCAGAACAATTTATCCCCCCGAAGCTTGGGAAGGGAGGTATATGTGAGAAAGATGTGGTGTGGACTTTCCCAGCAACAAAGAAACGTGCTACTTCATAATTGATGAGTTCTATAGCAGTGGCGGCTGATGGAGATCAACCCCGCCAAGCCTAATGAGTTGTATCAGTTGGAATTGATGAGGGCTTGGGAACCTTCGGGTAATTCGGGTGCTTAAGAAACTTGTTCTCTTTAAAGATCCTATGGTGATTTTTCTGTGTGAAACAAAAAGCTCGACGGAGCACATGGAGAGATTAAAATCACAATTGAAGTTTGATTTTGCATTTATAGTACCGAGTTTGGGATGTTTAGGAGGTGCTATGTGGAGAAAGGAGGCCAATATTTTGTTAATATCTTATTCCTCTTATCATATTGATTTGGAGGTTGAAGGTATATAGGAGATGAGAATCACTCGAGAGTTACTTTCTTTTATGGTTTTTCGGCAGAGGCTGAAAGACATAAATCGTGGTGTTTGCTTCAACATCTACGGGATACTTCGAACTTGCCGTGGTGTTGCATAGAGGATTTTAATGAGGTTTTGTGGGCCGAGGAGCAAAAAGGAGGTGATTTACGAAGCGAATGACAAATGGAGGGTTTTCGAAATGAGCTCATATGTTGCCAACTACAATATTTAGGTTTGTAGGTAATAAGTTCACTTGGGTTACGACTAGGAGTGGTGGAATTAAAGTTCAGTTGGACAGAGTCTTAGCAATACAGAGTTGGATTGATTTGTTTCCACATTTCAAAGTCACCCATTTAAAGCCTACCTTGTCAGATCATATACCAATTTTGTTAGATTAGATTTAAAAGAGAAGAGTTAAATTTAAAAGGACCTTTTTGATATGAGCAAGGGTGGTCTTTTAAGGATGGATGCGGGGCTGTGGTACAACAAAGGTGGGTGTCGGACTTTCAGGGCTCACCTATGCTCTGAGTCACAGAGAAGATTAAGGCAACATGAATCCAGTTGACTAACTGGGCAAAAACCACAGAATGTTCAATTCCTGGGGAACTTTCAGAAATGGAAGACAAGTTGAACTTTTTATTTGGACAGCCTCTTACCGAGCAACTATTGCCCAAAGGCATGAGTTATTTACCTCGACTGCGTTCGTTACTTGCACAAGAAGAAGCTTTTTGGCGTTAGAGGTCTAAGGAAGATTGGCTATGGCTTGGTGATCAAAATATGAAGTTTTTTCACCATAAAGCAAATCGACGACAAAGGAGAAACGGATTGCATGGGTTATTTGATGAGGTCGAGAACTGGCATGAGGTTAAAATAGGAAGGGAAGCTATTATTGTGGAGTATTTCACGAAACTATATGATTCTCAGGGTGCGATGGATGCGACGAAAATTTTGAGGGTTGTCGCTCCAAGGTATCGAAGAAATGAACCAAGAACTCCTTAGGCCGATTTCAAATGATGAAATTAAGTCTGCACTCTTCTAAATGCATCCAACTAAGGCTCCAAGACCTGATGTATGTCACATGGTTTCTATCAGAAGCATTGAGAGATTGTGGGACAATATGTTTGTGATGGGGTTAGGTTTATCCTTTCATATGGGCGTGTGCTTAGGAAAATTACTACCATGTACCTATGTTACTTTAATTCCTAGGAAACTTGATCCTACCTTAATGACTCAACTCCGGCCGATTAGTCTTTGTAATGTTATTTACAAGATTTGTTCCAAAGTTCTTACTAATAGGGTGAAAGTCATCTTGCCGGATATTATATCACCCTCTCAAAGTGCATTTATTCTGGGATGGTTAATTTTAGATAGTTGTTTGGTAGCTTTGGAGATTGCACACTAGATGCATAAAAAGAATAATGGGTGGAATGGGGCTATGGCATTGAAGTTGGATATAAGTAAGGCTTATGATCGTATTGAATGAAGTTTTTTTGGAGCAAATGATGAGAAGGCTGGGATTTGCAGAGGAATGGATAAACTGGATAATGATGTGTGTTACTACAGTTTCTTGTTCGTTCAAAGTAAATAGGGAGCTTGAGGGTCTTGTACAACCTAAATGTGGAATTTGCCAGGAAGACTCGTTATCATCGTTCTTGTTTGTTCTGTGTGCCTAGGGTTTATTTGCATTGTTTGATACGTGGGAAGCACAAGGCTGAATTCAAGGTGTCCATGAGTGTGTATAGTTGAAGGAGTTGCTAAAAACTTACAAACGGGCATTTGGCCAAGCATTTAATCTTTCAAAAAATAGTGTGGCCTTTAGTAGAAATTTAACAGATAGGGATGCACAAGTTTTGGTTGATTGTTTGGGGATGGAACTAGTGGAGTATGATGACTGGTATCTTGGCCTACTGGTGTTTGTTGGACAATCTAAGAAAGCTACATTTGCCTATATAAAGGACCGTCTATGGAAGAAGTTAAATGGCTAGCTTGATTCTTTGCTAAGAAATGCTGGCAAAGAAATTTTGATAAAAACTGTAGCTCAAGCAGTTCCATTGTACACGATGCAGATGTTTTTGTTGCCTAAGTCTTTTGTGAGGAGTTGAACCAAATGGTGGCGCAATTTTGGTGGGGAAGGGAAGTAGGTAAGTGTCAAATACACTGGATTAAATGGCAAAAGCTTTGTAAACCAAAAAGTAAGAGTGGCCTGAGATTTAAGGACTTACATGTTTTCAACCTTGCGTTCATTGCCAAGCAAGGATGGAGAGTAATACAGTAACCGTAGTCTCTTATTACTCAAATATTCAAAGCTCGATACTATCCTACAATAGATTTTTTGTAGGCTCTAGTTAGACCAAACTCATCTTATTGTTGGAGAAGTGTGGTGGCATCTAGAATAATTATACAGAGATGAGCTAGGTGGAGGATTGGAGATGGCCTACGAATACAAATTTGTGGGGACAGTTGGTTGCCAAGGGAGAAATTTTATAAAGTTATTAGCCCCAGACCGATGGGGATGCATACCTCTCTTATTGTGAGATTGTTAATGGTGGAACATGATGGAGTTCAGTGGAATACGGTTTTAATCTGTAGTTGGTTTTTGGAGGATAAAGCAGGATTGATTTTGAGTATTCCATTGAGTTTGTTCAATTCGGTTGATACCATGATTTGGACTAAAGAACCCAAGGGTCTATTTTATAACTAAGAGTGCTTACTTTGTGGCAAGAACATGTCATTGTATTGGTGGCGATGAGCCCATGGGATCTATGATAAATGAGGATACCAAGTGTTTATGGAAAGCTTTGTGGCAAGCTACAGCCGCAAGGAAAGTTAAGATTTGTGTATGGCGTGGTTGTATGGATGATTGGCCATCTAAGGTGAATTTGACAAAAAGACGAGTTCTTATGGAGGATGTTTGTGGGTTATGTGATAAAGAAGTGGAAACAATTGAACATGCCTCATTATTGGTTTGTGAGCCCACTGGGATTTCGTTCATTCTATCAGAGTGAGGATGACCTATGTGGTTGGTTGGCACATATGGCGCAATTGTTATCTAAGGATAGTTTCGAGTTGCTGCTTGTTTTATTATGGAGTATATGGAAGGTGCGCAAAGAGTTTTTATGGAACGGTGCAAAGGTTTCCCCTTCGGACACCCAACTTAAAGCTCAAACTTGGTTGTTAGAATACAAAAATAGGAATGAGGTCAAATCGCATGACACCATTGAACGAGTTCAGAATGGCAAAAGCCAGATTTTGGATGGATAAAATGCAACTTTGATGCTGCTTGGGATGAGATTGGATTGCGTGGAGGTATTAGGATTGTGGTGAGAAACTCAGAAGGTGAGTTCATTGCAGCAATGGTGGTTCGGGAGAATAGGATTTGTTCTGCATTGCATGTCGAGGCTGTTGTTGCGCATGCAACAGCTGTGTTTACACGACAATGGTCAACTGAACAAGTGCAGGTGAAGGGTGATGCTTTTATGGTGATATCTGCAATCCAGAATGAAGGAATAGCTCATCATGGCCCTTATAGACATCTGTTTGCTGATACACGGCAAATTCTTCAAAGTTTCAAGCAATGGAAGGTTGCATTTGGTCAAAGAGATACGAATAAGGTGGCTTACCACCTAGCAAGATTTAGTTTAGCTCTTGATCACCCAGTTTCTTGGTTCAAGGAACTTCCTAATGTAATTTCTGATGTATTATTAGAGGATAGTATTAGTAGTTAAGTTCGGTGCGGGACACACTTTTTCCCTTTGTTCGAGTTGAAAGCCCCGACAAGATTTTTATTGAAGCCTACTGTTAGCACCCTATCCTCGATTTTGTACGTACTTCTCTATTTAATGAATATCGTACTTCCATTAAAAAAAAATGAATGGTAAATGACTGTAATTTTCTTGAAGTATGGTGTATAAGATAACAAAACTGCACTACACTTTTTCTAGTTCCTAGACAAGGTTTTGCAAGACTGAGTTGGATGGGCCGAGTCACTCGATGCTAATCCCTATGGCACGTTGACTATGGTAAATTTGGATAATGTCCGTTTATTCACAGTTGCATTTATTACCCTTCCAAATATTATCAACCATATTAATTTTTACCCTCATTTTTATTTTCTTGAATTTATAAGATAAGGGCTACTCAGTATCCAGTCTGATTTTTGTGATATTCTTTTTCACTTGTAAATGAAATGGGATGACGAATTCGATACTAAATTAAATTGCTTATTATGTGACTTAGCTGAACTCTCTCATATTCTTAGTGTAAATATATCGTTGTACTCGAAAAATAAAATAAAATAAGAAGATGGGGTGGGAAGATGGGTCCAAAAAGCACGTGACAAAGGTGGAGGTGGTGTCAGCGATCATGTGAGGACTTTCATAAGGGTTCAACTTCCCCTTCCTATTGTTTAATACAAATCTCTCACCACGCAAAATCATGCTCCAATTTGCACTTATTTACACCCATACCCCTCACCCCACACCTAAAAACCCCCCACCCCCTCCATTATCTCTCTCATTCATCACTCTCACACTATCCAAGCAAACTCTTTCTCTCTCTAGACTGCATTTCCACACTCAATTCCTTCACAAATGGAACTGCCCGAGTTCAACCTCGGCGGCTACTTCAACGGCGGAGCCACCAAGTTATCGCCGGAAAAGAAGCCCGCCGGCGGCGATTTCACCGTTGACGACCTACTCGACTTCTCTAATGAAGACCCCTTCGTCACCACAGCGGACGGCTGCGGCGGTTTCTTTGACCCTGCCCCCGATTTGTCAGCGGTCACTGCCGTTGACAGCTGTAATTCCTCAGTCTCTGGCGGAGAGCCTCAGTTCTCCGGCAACCGGAGTTTTGGCGACTCTCAGATCTCCGGCGACCTCTGCGTTCCGGTAAACCTCCAATTCCATTAATTCATGAATTCTAATGATATTCATTAATTTTTGGCTTCTGCATGTAATTTGCATGATCCTGACGTTAATTTTATAATTAACTATTCAACAAAATAGTTTATTTCGGGAATTGAGAATTAAAATTATTTTTATTTTCCAAATTATAATAAATAGATATATAATTCGCAGGACAGGAGGATAGTTTTTTATATTTTGCATGCAATATAGAATATACGATGATTACGATCACCACATTACTTTTATGTTTGATTATTATGTAAAATTAATTAATTAATTATTTATTTGCAAATTAATTGCAATTTGTATAATTAAAAATTGATTGCAGTACGACGATTTGGCGGAGCTGGAATGGCTGTCGAACTTTGTGGAGGATTCTTTCTCAGCAGACAAGGATTTACAATTTCTCCAGTTCCTCTCCGTAAGCAACACAACCAAACCTCAAACCCCCGAAACGTGTTCATCCTCCGAAACGCCTCAAAACGCACCGCTTTTCCCCTCCGAAACGCCTCCCCCGGGCAAGGCTCGAAGCAAGCGCTCACGCGCCGCCCCCGGAGACTGGTCCACGCGCCTCCTCCACCTCATCACTCCCAACAATGACACGAAGCCTCCAAAACAACATTGCATAAGAAGAGAGATGGTGCCATTGGTGGGGGCAATTCGCATTCGGGTTCAGACTCTTCAGGCCGAAAATGCCTCCATTGCGCGGCTGAGAAGACCCCGCAATGGCGAACTGGACCCATGGGACCTAAAACTCTTTGCAACGCTTGCGGCGTCCGGTACAAGTCAGGTCGGCTTGTGCCCGAGTACCGGCCCGCCGCGAGCCCTACTTTCGTGTCGGCTAGGCACTCCAATTCGCATAGGAAGGTTCTGGAGCTCCGAAGACAGAAGGAGGTTCAGAGATCACATCATCATCAATTTCTGAGTCAAAGTTCCATTTTTGGCGTATCCAACGGTGGTCATGATGAGTACTTGATCCATCATCATAATGTGAACGATTTTCGGCAGATGATGTAGTGGATGCTAGAGTAGGATAATTAAGGTGGACCTCTCTAATTTTAACACGAAATCTCTAGCTTAATTTGCTAATTTTTTGGGTGTTAAAATTTGAATTTGTAGTCAAATGTTTTAAGGGTCATTGATTAAAAAAATTGTAGAATTGAAAAAAAAAAAAAAGTGGGAAGGGGCAAAAATTGGGGTTGGCTTTGTATTCTACTTTCTTTTTATTGCCGAATTTGGCAAATTTAGAATCAATTTTATCTACATTTTGTTCTTTTGATAAGTTTAATAAAATTAACAAATTTTGTTTATTGAGGAACAAATAAAAGAAGAAGAATGAAACAAAAAATAAATAAAGAAGAAATATCAATTTACTAATGTAAGTGTGATGTCAAGGACAAAATAATATTTTTTTTTCCTATTTTTTAGACTATATATCAACCATATTATAGCCTCAAGGATCGTGTTATATTTTACCAGTATGAACATTAAGTGTATATATAGTCTTAGTTGAATGTGAGGTAGTTAGGACATCAGTCCTTATACACTACGATTAACTATACTTCGTATAAGTTAAGAACAGTAGTCAATGTCTATCTTGATCGTATATTAAAGACAATAAGTTCGCATTATCATCAAATAAATGGTGTGTCACTCCAATGAAGAAGCAAAAAGGCCATGGACGCTTTTGCAAATGGTTGACATGATGAGGAGCTACCAAAAGTTTGTCCAATTTGTATAAATTTCCATGAACATATATAGCATTTCCTAGAACTTAAGAAATTTGGAACACATATAGTGCAACATGCAAACTTGGAGGGAATATAATATATGTGGAGAGAAAGCAAAGTTCATGTACTAGACTTGTGATTGATCAGTGGCACCCTTATGTGAATATCGAGGGCCCAAATTTCATGGCACATTAGGAGAATATTAAGGCAATACAACAGGAAGCAGCAAGGTAGGAGAGAGAGCATGGAATTCAGTGAAGAATTTATAAGTATTATGTTGATACATCGTCTTGTGCACAGTACCATTTTAAATATATTAAAGTGAGTTTTTAAAAGGGAACTTTAACGAAAAGCTCTTGCTACTGTTTATTTTAACGAAAAATCATATTTTACATTAAAAAGTCAATACTGGTACTAATCACTTTACCTTTTATTTTGGTTTTTATCATTAAAACTCAAAGTTTTCAAATCATTTTCATTAATTAATTTATTTATTTTAAAAAAGCTTTGGAAACCAATGCAAAGCAAAGGGAAGAGACGAATGGAGTAATAATCTTTCAAAAAATCCATGATCATGGGTCCCTTAACTCATCAAAATGCGCATCTATTGTCATTTTCTTCAACTTCGTTAGAATTATGTTAAAATGAGTCATGTTGGAAGGACTATTGCTACAATTGGGTTAAAGTTGAGGGACCATTGCTCTAGTTGGGTTAAAGTTGAGAGACCATTACTCCAATTTTTCTTATTTGGTTTTCTATATTTGCCTCTTGAGTCAGCCTCGCGTGCATGACACGTGATTCATTTTGACGGAAATTCTAATGGAGTTGACGAAAATGACCATAGCTGCACGCTTTAATGAGTTAAGGAACCACTGGTCATGTTCCGGAGGGACTAGCCATTGTATGTTTGAAATTTTTAGTTGAGAGATCATTACTCTAATTAGGTTAAAGTTGAAGGACCATTACGACAATTTCCTCAAATTTGTACGGGGAATTTGGCATTGGTTGTTGAATTTTGCTAGCAAAAATTAAGAGATTTTTTCACATATTCAGAGCATAAGTCGGTGAAGCACAATTTGTAAAGCTCACGCCATAATATAAGTGAAGGAAGTAAAATTTTCAATGTCTCTTTGCTTATATTTATAACGCGTTATGTACCTACCATCTTATATTCAGTTCATGAAAAACTTCTAGCAAAAATAATGCGGGAGGGACACATGTGGGGGATCAATAAACAAAGGATTAGGTACACTTGGGGACTGATTTAACTGTCCACCCGATCCTAGACATTTGCCCTTCCATGAGGTCCCACTGTCTTATTACTTATAATTAGATTAGTTGTTTAGGGGTTAATTATTTTATTTTTTCTAGATCATATTTGCATTTGTTTTGTTGAGTTTGTCGAAATTTAACAACTCCATGTGTGGCTGTGTGGGTCTATGATTTTTCCTCCTTTTGTTCTCTAAGTCTATGATTTTTATTGTAGGAATGATGAACTTCAATTACATTTGGGCAACTAAGGACATGTTTGCAAATTAAGGAGAAAAAGGGAAGAAGGAGAAAGAAAAACCCGATTTTTTTTTATTACAAGTGATATTTTACATTAATTTAAACTAAAGGAATGAAAATTGGTTTAAACTCGAACACAATGGGTTGAGGAAGAAAACCCTAACCGCCAAGGTAATCTACTACTTGAGGATGTAATTTTCATTTAAACATTTTTTAGTTTTAGTTTATATATGTATGATAAATTTCCTCTCATATCTTTTCTTGATCACTTCTTTCATTTTTCTTATCTTTTTATTTTCTTTCTCATCTCTTTTAATAAACTTAAGGCTCGTTTATTTATTAGCAATAAGGACATAAGAAATTGAATAACTGCGGCATGGGAAAAATAAGAAAAGGAAATTGGATTTAACACCTTCTCTCTAGTTAATTAAATTCCTAAAATTGGGTTATTTCATTGGGATTTTAGAAAATCTTATTACGGATTACATACAGGTAAACACGAAGGAAGTCATGAAGGGAGTCATTCTCTCTCTTTCATTTCCATTACTGATAAGTAAACAAGCCCTTAAAGAAGAGAATACACTATATAAGAAGGTCACCACATATATATGTCTAAATATGTACAATAAGTGGAGTGAAGAATGAGAACTACGACCACTTTAGACAATGCAAGCAGCAGAGATATATATATGCCCACTTTACATTAACACTAATAATGCACACATGCATGGAAAGAATGTGTTGGGGGCTTCAATTCAGACAATGCCAAGTGCTGGGCCATGCAAAGCGAAGATGGGTACACATGCTTACCCCTATCCTCCTTGTCCTGCCTTTGAAATCCCACAACAAACATTTATACGTACAAGACTGCCAGGGTACGCAAAAGTACACATATATGTACACCTATGCATTGTTGCTTTCTTTTTACAATCAATTCTACTTTAATTTTCCATATATGTAACATATATATATATATATATATATATGTGGATGTCTATATGTTTTAGAGATATTTGTTGGTTTGCTCCTTGAACTTGTATGGATCTGTTAATTTCCTGAACTTTAATTTTAGTCAATTACACCCCTGACTTTTATAATTAGCCAATTCCCTCTGGAGCTTTAACTTTAGCCAATTACCTCCATAAAATTTTGTACATAGCCAATTTCCCCCTCTAGCGTTAGATTTTAAATTTTGTATCCATAGATTTTCCATTCTTTTTACCCCCACACAGTTGTCATGCGTTGTCCCCGTGATCAAAATGAATGGAAAATTGGATGAAATTTTTTAAAACTTAGTGTTATTTATAAAAGTTCAGAGGGGTAATCGGCTAAAATTCAAGTTCAAGAGGGAAATTGGCTAATTATAAAAATTTAGGGGGCTAATTGCCTATATTTTATGTAACAATACTCTACTCTAATATAATGACTTAACATAAATATAACATGTCCTCACCATTCACGTAAATCGAACCTATAAAACTTTTCATATTCCCATTTACTGGTGAAGAAGAATAACACCAGTTGTACACAGTTGATATAGAGTAATCAATATGAGAGGATAGGGCACATTGAGCGGAAAATGTGAATTGGAGGAAGCTTCGGGGGGATTGCATGTGGGATGATGAAACCCAAGCACATGGTGTACGTGACGTGCATGCCCTGCATCTGCTTCTGTTTAAATTGGATAATATATCCAAATTTCAGAATGGCTTTGCTGCCCAGTTGTCTCGAAGATCATTTAACCCCCATGTTATATTTTGTTAAGAAGATACGATCGATATGTTTCTTGTCCCCCATCCCCTCCATAGCTATCTTCTTATGACTTTCGCCCTCTCTCTTTTTCTTATCCCATAATTTTATTACAAATTTCTACTACCAGTGTGTATTTTTTACACTAATTAATTACTTATAAGTTAAGTTGTCTATATGTGTGTGTGTGTGTATACACATATGTTTTGATTCTTAACATACAGCATGTTACAATTTGCAGCTGGAAGCATATATAACCACTAATCAGTGATTCAGTATATATAAGGGTCATGAGATAAAAGCTGAGCAGGAATTAATCGATCAGAACGAAAAGAAAAAGGGGTCCTTTTGGGATAAAGAAGCCAACATGGAACACAAATTGGTTTTTCAACATGAAGGAAATATGCCCAATAAAAGGAAGCTTGTAATGGTAATGGCCTAACCAATTAGGCTTCTTCTTTTTCTCCCCCCTCAAATTATGTAGTAACAAGATAATTATACTAGGAACACACACCCTCAAATTATCTTGTTACTAATTCATCACGTCACAAGTCTGTTGGACAAATGGTTTACCTTTGGAACACGTGACAATATTTATTTGATAGGTTATACCACTGAAACTATATATGTCTTTGTTGCGTGAGAGAATCTCTCTCCATCTGCTTTTTCGATAGATGATGAATTATTTGATAAGTGATGCCGTTGAAACTATGTCTTGGCTGTGATGGAAAATATCTCTTCCTTTGCTTTTTCGATAAATGAAGAACGTTAGCTCAATAACATTTGGTTAGTTTTGTTCGATTACTGTGAATGATTTTGACATGTATATCTGGCAAATAGGATCATATATTTCATTACACAATTGTTAATGCATAACACGAACAAGAGGTTGAAGCTAGGAATATACAGCTTTTGTCTTCCAAATCTTCTTTCTCCACCTTTTGGATTTGATTTTGACCACAGCCTGTTTGACCATATAAGCTCCAAGCCTTCAGATTGCCAGCTCTTGACAGCATATGAAAGAAAAGGTAAAAGAACAGATAAGCAAATGCATATGTACCATCGATCCTCTAAACCAAATTAAGCTCGTAAATAAAGTCAGCTTCCATTGACTTATCATATAGTTGGTAGCTCAAGTAGCAAGGCTGAGAGAGAGAGAGAGAGAGAGAGAGAGAGAGAGAGAGAGAGAGAGAGAGAGAGAGAGAGGAAAAATTAACTAATTATAAAAACTAGAATTAAACTAGTTATTCGTGATGAACCAACCACCCACATA